AGAGACCGTGAGCGACGGCTGTAATTCGCGTGTCGCGGACGTTTGTCTATTTGGAAGGCCCGCGATCGCCGCGATCGTTCACGTTAATGCCTTATCCGCGGCATTGTCGGCGATTCGCAGCACGTGAATGCCGGAATCGATAAATGCATTCGTGCATGCCGTTCGTGTCAGTGTCAAAGTTGAAGTACAGATAGGGGGAGAATATCACCGTCCTCATGCGCCTCCATCGCGCTCTCGGCGACCAGAAATTCGCCGACGCGGGTCGCATTAGCCGAACATCTCATCACGACGCAAAGTTCCGGCGACGCTCCGTGCAGCATCTCCCGCATCGATGGTATATCGTCCGATCCTCGGAATCCCAATTTCTCGACGTCGCTCGTCCTCCCGACCGGCGTTCCAGGACGCGGCGACGACGGCGCTGAGAGCCACTGGGTGCAATCTTGTACCAGCTGGGGTTTGCGGGGTCTTGGGAGACGCGACTCCGGCTCGTAACCTTCTCTCTCGAGGTCCTAGCCACGACGAGGGTGGAGTGAGGAATAGGGAAACAGGCACCACAGGCCTGGTGTAGGGGGACGGGGGCGCCGGGGGAGCGACGGTGGTGGCGACGGCGGCAGCGGGTTGGGTGGTTGGTTGGGTTGGTTGGTCGAGGTACGAGACGTAGGGTGAGAGCGCGCGAGTGGTAAGGGGGAGAGAGAGAGAGAGAGAGAGAACGGAGGACGGTGTGGGTGGTCGGTGGCTTGGGATATATCCGTAAGGTTAGGGTGGTTGAGTCGAGACGAGGCGCCGTGGCGAAGGAGTCGCTCACTCACTTACCACCCTCATGGCTGCGACCGCCAACCCCAATAGCATGCACACGGCCAAAGCCGTCTCTCTCCCCCCCTCGCCCGTCGCTCTCGCCCTTTCCACCCGCAACGCGCCTCTCACCCTCGAAAGAGCCACCCCTGACTGTACTTCGGTGCCTGCTGCTTGCCAAGTTGCTTGCCTGCCTGCCTGCCTGCGGACCAAGTCGTCCCTAACACTACAAAGTCTATATATCTACGGTATACCCGCAGCTCCTCCTACACTCCACTACTACCACCACCCCCTCCTCCTCCGCCTCTTCCTTCTCCTCGCCTTCCCCAGAGGTACCAACCCCCATATTGATCGTGGCACGAATCCTCTTTGTGGGAGAGAGGGTGGTATGGATAGCCGACGGGATAGGTGTAAGTAAACTTACGTGAATGGAAGGCGGGCGTGTGTATCGTTTCTTCGCGGAGGTATATATACATCGCGTGTATATATAAACGTATATATACACCGCGAACGGGGTGAGGAGGGTGGCCGGGTGGGGGCGGACGATAGGTGAACCGACGGACGAGGAAGGGAGAAAGAGAGAGAAAACAGAAACGGGAAGCTCTCTCGTGAAACGACATTGCGAGCTATCGGCGTCTCCGCGGGGTGTGGGAGAAAAAGGATGCGCTTATCCCCCTGAAAGACGAGACTTCCGGATAACGTAGCTGCTACTAGCTGCGCGGTATTGACTGCGGGAAAGAGGAGAGGTGGATGTTTCCGCATGATTTTCCGCGCGGACTGAATCCGCCGACGTCGAGTCGCACGCGAGACTCAGTCTCTTTACCGTGTGACTATTATATAATCCTCTCGTTTCTCCTCCCGCGATCATTTCGTTTTACGGACGACGCTCGATCGAGCGTGCGTGTACCCTCGTGAACGAACGTTTCGAGAACTCTCGCTGTTGCGCTCGCGACCAGAAATTATCGCGACCCGTCCAGTCATGCGACGCAACGACGTGGAAACATTGTTGAAGCGAAGCCTCCCCCCCCCCTCTTTCTCTCTCTCTTTCTCTTTTGCTGATGAGAATCGGTGACGGACAGCGCGACATTTCTCCTCGCCGGCGAGAAACGCCTTGCAGATTCCGTCCTTAGAATTCCATCATTTTTTCTCATGTCCCATTTTCCTTCACCGAATCGTGAATCTCCAACGTGCCGCTTCTCGTCTTGTTCTGCGTCTCCCACGAGCGTATGCGGGGTGCTGTTTTCTCGTTTTGAATTGCCTTTTTGGCGACGCACGACGCCCGTACGAAGTCCCCTTCAGTGAATTCCGGTCCGAATAAACAGCGACCGGCCGTTAGCAGGTATAACGAGACGGATTCTGCCTTCTCTTTCCGCAAGGCCGGAGGAAAAGATCTGCCTTTCTCTCGCTCTTTCTCTCCCGGAGTCTTTTCCGCGAGGAAACTCGAAAGAGGCACGTAATACGGCTCCTGGGGGGTTCTTTTCTTCCGAGAATCTTTCATGACGCGCAGCGGAGCGCGTGTTTGCGGGACTTCCCCCCCTTCTCGCTGCTCCCCCGATTCTCTCTTTCGTTCTCTCTCTTCTTTCCTTCCCTCCCCCCCCCCCCCC